GGGGGGGGGGGGGGGGGGGGCGCCTGGGGCCCGGGGGGGGGGGGGGGGGCCCAGGGGGACAGCTTGAGGCTCTGTCTCAAAAAAAAAAAAAAAAAAAAAAAAGAAATAATTTAACTCAAGTATCAGTTGGTTAAGATTTTAAGAAATTATGGTTAATTTCTCAATTGTGGTAATAGTATTATGGTTATAGGGTTTTTTTGTTTGTTTGATTTTTTTAGAGACAGAGTCTCACTTTATCACTCTCGATAGAATGCTGTGGCCTCACAGCTCACTGGAACCTCCAGCTCTTGGGCTTACGTGATTCTCTTGCCTCAGCCTCCCAAGTAGCTGGGACTACAGGTGCCCACCACAATGACTGGCTATTTTGTTGTTGTTGCAGTTTGGCCAGGGCCAGGTTCAAACGCACCACTCTTGGTATATGGGGCCAGTGCCCTACTCACTGAGCCACAGGTGCTGCCCTATAGGGTTTTTTTTTTTCTTTTAAGAGTTCTTATTGGGGGCAAAGGGGAGCAATCCTAAACTAGGCTAGGTGAGTGGCTCACCTTGTAATCCTAGCATTATGGGAGGCCGAGGGGAAGGATCACTAGAGGTCAGGGATTGGAGACCAGCCTGGGCAGGAAGGAGACCAGTCTCCACTAAAAATAGGGGAAAAAACTAGCAGGGGAGGTGTTACCAGCTTGTGGTCCCAGCTATTCCAGAGCTTGAGGCAGCAGGATGGCTCGAGTCCAGGATGAGATTTTGTGAGCTATGATGATGCCACTGCACTCTAGCTGGGGTAACAGCAAGACTTCTCAAAATCAAAAACAAACAAACAAACAAAAACTAAACTAAAAAGAAATTATAGTACCATGCAATTAACCATATAATGTTATACTATGCCACACACTTTAAAAATGAAGTTTGGGGCTCAATGCCAGCCACATACACCTAAGGTGGCGGGTTCGAATCCAGCCTGGGCCCACCAAACAACAATGATGGCTGCAACCAAAACATAGCCAGGCGTTGTGGCAGGTGCCTATGGTCCCAGCTACTTGGGAGGTTGAGGCAGGAGACTCGCTTGAGCCCGGGGTTTGGGGTTTGTTTTGGCTGTGATGCTACAGCATTCTACCCAGGGGGACAGCTTGAGGCTCTGTCTCAAAAAAAAAAAAAAAAAAGAAGTTTGGGGTTGTGCCCGTAGCTCCATGGGTAGGCTGCTGGCCACGTACACGGAGGCTGGAGGGTTCAAACCCAGCCCTGACCAGCTAAAACAATGAGGACTGCAACAAAAATATAGCCTGAGGTAAAAAATGAAGTTTAGCTGAGCAAGGTGGCTCACGCCTGTAATCCTAGCACTCTGGGAGGCTGAGGCGGGTGGATTGCGAGTTCAAAACCAGCCTAAGCAAAAGTGAGGACCCCCCCAATCTCTACTGAAAAATAGAAAAACTGAGGCAAGAGGATTGCTTGTGCCCAAGTTAGATGTTGCTATGTGCTATGATGCCATGGCACTCTACCCAGGGTGACAGCTTGAGAATGTGTCTTAAAAAAAACAATGCAGAATTTTGTTATGTATTAATATGATTGACCAGAATGTACTAATAAATGCAAAACAGCAGGTATGGGGGGAAAGGGAGATTATGGATGTTTCCTGGAAGATGCATAAAATATGTTTAGAAACACACCCATTGTAGGAGAGTAAGTAGGATTCCAGGGGAAAGATTTGGAAATGAATTTTTTTCTTAAATTTCTTTGTATCTTTCACATTTGAATTGAAAAATGCCCATTTTGGAAATAATGTGGATTTTGCATTTTAAGGAAAAATATTTGAGCTACAGGACTGTTGTTGTGGATTGCTAACCATTTTCATTATATCTACACATACTTGGCTTCTTATTTATTTATTTTTGTTTTCATTTAGAATGCAGGTGTCTATCTGCCAGTTTGGACTTTTAACAGTTATTAATTTGTATGTACAATAAAGTAAACCCAAGAAGGAATATAAATAAAATCCTTTGGAGTAAAAAAATATTCTTAATAGGTTACCTGCCTTTCACATCTTTTTCTCAATCTTGCCAAGTAATCTGCCTTGGGGCAAACATACCAGTTAAGCTGGAAAGACACTGTGGAAATCTGCTGTTAAAAAACCATGGGTGGGGGGGAAGCCATGGTGAATTATAATAGGCCTCAGTGATACTAGGACATATCAGATGAAGTAGTTTTTAGATGAAGGCACCCATACTTTTGAAATCAATGTGGTTTTTTTACAAAGATTTTTTCTTTTTCATTTATTTGATTTTTGAGGGGACAATTATTTTTAAGACCATTTCAACAATGATACACTTGAGTTCTAATGGTATTGAAAGGTACTGGCCTGTGAGTAGACTTGACAACTTTAATTCATAGAAGAGTAATTACAGAAAACATTCTTTTCTTTTTTGGGGGGGGATCATGTGTCAAGCTGTCGCCCTGGGTAGAGTACTGTGGCATCACAGCTCATAGCAACCTCAAACTCTTGGGCTCAAGCGATTCTCTTGCCTCTGTGTCCCAAGTAGCTGGGACTACAGGCACCAGAACACCCAGCTATTATTTTTGTTTGTTTAGCAGGCCCTGGGCTGGGTTCTAACCCATCAACTCCGGAGCTACAGGTGCCTAGCCAGAAAACATTCTTTATTCACTTCAAACAAGCCTTAAGGATGACTATTTTATGCCATATATTTCTTTTTTTAAAAAATATATTATAATATAATTATATGATACTAATATAACATACAATTATATATTACATTAACCTAATATAATATATAATATAATATAATAACAATATTATTAACCTAGTATAATATTATTATATTAACCTAATATAATATTATATATTATATTATATATAATCATAATTATATTATTATATAACATTATATTAACCTAATTATACAATATTATATTAGGTTAATATAATAT